GAGTTGTTGCTATTCTTTTCTTCAATCTCCTGTTGAGTTTGTAGGTGTTCAGAATGATTTGATCCCTATCCAGCTGAATTCCTGAGAGGAGACAAAATCCAGGTCTCCTACTCCTCCGCCATCTTGCTCTGCCCCCGCGTCTTCTGTGCTCTGATGTATGTCATGGATCGCCATCCTCCAGACAATGATAGACTCCCACACAGCTTTGGGCTTCCCCACCCTCCACACTCCATCCCATCTCCCTCATCTGGATAAGCCTCTTACCCACAGCCTCTTCTCAATCCCCTAAACGCCCAGCTTCTGAAACTCCCACCTTTGTTCCCTCCCAGTCCCCTGACCTGGGCCTTTTTATTGCCCAGAACTGCTTCTTCTCTAAGACCTTAATCACCCCTCTCCAAATCTCCTGTACCTACCCATCCAATGAACTTCCTAATGCTTGCCATCTTTGACCTTCCTCAGTGACATCCCCTTTCCCACAGGTCATTTCTCTTTTCATTTTTCCTTAGCCAATTTCCTGGCCTCCTCTATGTCTTGCAGGCCCCTTAGTTTGTTCTCTTGGCCCGAACCCCAGCTTGACCACCTCTCAGCATGCTTTCCTTACAAGCCTCCAAGTCTGGATCTGTGAGGCCCACATCTCTTCCTGACCTTCTGACTGCAGCTGGAGAGGGTGTCACGGCCAGGCACATGGTGTCCCTCACACAGGAGGGTTTCCAGCCCCCTGCTGAGTACAGTCACACTGCTCACCCTTACTTGGGTCCCTTTCCTCTCCATGATGGTTCCACCTTTCACCACCCCTGCACCCCTGTCCAATCCAGCCTCCCTGGCTCCCCAGAAGCAACATATCCCCCATGACACCCCCCAGACACTGTGCCTACGATGTGCAGTTCCCTGCTTTCCACCTGCGGTTGCTGACATTTACCTGTATTTTCACCCTCTGGCACATTTTTCCCTTCCAGAAATCTAAGAATTACCTGAAACCACTAATTACCCTCATGTTCCCATCCAAAGAGCAAAGTCTTCTTATGGATTCTACCATTAACTAGGTCTGGCAGCCCTCCCCTCCCTCAATATCCCTCACCTGCTCCCCTGGACCGGTGTCTCTTCGTGAGCCTCCCTGGGGCCAGACTTCCCAGCTCCCCTCCATGCTGGAGTCAGAATTCGATCTCCACGTGGGTCACATCCTGCCAAGGCTCCCTGTGCCTTTGGGATAATGCCCTCTCCTTTCCTCTCTTCATGTTCCTGACTCTGCTGGTAAAATATTATATTGGTGAGAAAGCTTTCATCTTTATTTTTTCTTCCTTTTCTTTCATCCAGTTTCCACATGAGGGGGAGACATAGATCTGAACACGGAGGCCTGAGCTCCCTGCTGTCTGGTGGGCCATGGGCCACAGAAAGTCCTTTCTCCTCCAAGTGCAAACTCAGTGGGGCAAGTCTGCTTCCTGTAGCTGAAGGTAAATGTACAGGATCTGGGATCTCAGTTGCAATTTAATCAAGATTCATCGACAGGAAAACTGATTTTTTAGCCTTTTCTACATTCTGAGTCTGTTACAGCATCATTTCAGAATTTGGAGAGTGAGGGTGTGAGGAATTAGAATTTACAAACCCATTTGTAATAGACCCTCCACTATGTGTACATTTATATATTTAATTATTTATTTATTTCTATATGTTCAGTTAGCCACTGTATAGTACATCATTAGTTTTTGATGTACTGTTCAATGATTCATTACTTGAGTATAACACCCAGTGCTCATCACAACATGGGCCCTCCTTAATACCCATCACCCTGTTACCCCATCCCCTCCTCCCCTCTGAAACCCTCAGTTTGTTTCCCAGGGTCCATAGTCTCTCATGGTTCATCCCCCTCTCTGATTTCTCCCCCTTCAGATTTCCCTCCCTTCCCCCATGGTCTTCTGTGCTATTGCTTATGTTCCACATATGAATGACACCATATGATAATTGCCTTTCTCTGCTTGACTTACTTCACTTAGGATAATCCCCACTAGTTCCATCCATGTCAGTGCAAATGGTGGGTATTCATCCTTTCTGAGAGCTAAATAATATTCCATTTCATATATGTATCACATCTTCTTTATCCATTCATCTGTTGAAATGCAACTCGCTCCTTCTACAGTTTGGTTATTGTGGACATTGCTGCTATGAACATTGGGGTGCACGTGCCCCTTCTTTTCACTACATCTGTATCTTTGGGGTAAATACATTGCCTGACTTCAAGCTATATCACAAAGCTGTGATCACCAAGACAGCAGGGTATTGGCACAAAAACAGACACATAGACCAATGGAACAGAATAGAGACCCCAGAAATAGACCCTCAACTCTATGGTCAACTAATCTTAGACAAATGAGGAAAAAATACTCAATGGAAAAAAGACAGTCTCTCCAGTAAGTGGTGCTGGGAAAATTGGACAGTTACACATATAAGAATAAAACTAGACCATTCTCTTACACCATACACAAAGATAAACTCTAAATGGGTGAAAGACCTCAATGTGAGACAAGAATCCATCAAAATCCTAGAGGAGAACATAGGCAGTAACCTCTTAGACATCGGCCACAGCAACTTCTTTTTTTTTTTTTTTAAAGATTTTATTTATTTATTTGAGACAGAGAGAATGAGAGACAGAGAGCATGAGAGGGAGGAGGGTCAGAGGGAGAAGCAG